CAGGCAGGTAGACAAGCAGGCAGGCAGGCAGGCAGACAGGCAGGCAGGCAAGCAGGCAGGAAGGCAGGCAGGCAGGCAGGCAGGCAGGCAGGAAGGCAGGCAGGCAGGCAGGCAGGCAGACAAGCAGGCAGGCAGGCAGGCAGGCAGGCAGGCATGCATGCATGCAGGCAGGCAGGCAGGCAGCGCAGCACAGCCGCCGACACGCTCAAGCGACGATGGTTTAATGATGGCGAGCAACATTCACCAGACCGACCGATCATTGCTCCTAACTTCGCTCCATTGCTAACGCCTCTGGAGTAATTATGGATTACCACGAAGCTATTCTGCCCAACAGGCTGCTCAAAAATTATTAATTGTCGGTGCTGCTAAATTCGTGCTACACGAGACAGCATTGTGTAGTACCCACAGGCGAGGCAAACCCCAATAACAACCCTCGCCTAGAAATGATTATATGCTGATATTTTCTGCGAGCACCGTATAATAATAGTGCTAGCGAATTACATAAATCGATGATGTCGAAGTCTATGGCAATGGCGATGATGGTGTCAAAGACGATGACGGTGACAATGACGATGTCAAAGACGATGACGGTGGCGATGATGATGTCGAAGACGATGACGGTGGCGTTGACGATGTGGCTGCTGATAATGTTTCTGAAATTGTTATTATTATTAATATTATTATTATTATCATTATTATTATTATTATTATTATTTATAATGTAGATCACGGCATTAGCCGGTGGCTTCTGGGTTGGCCGTATTCCAAACTGGGACATAGGGATTCTTTTGCGCAGAATGTGTGGTGTTCCCAGTAGTGCAATTCTCTGCACTTCCAGGGCAGTGTGGTGGTCAGCGAGTTCATTGAGGTTCTTCTCAATACCATTCTTTATAGAGCCAAGGGCTCCAATAACAACTGGCACAACTCTCGTTTTAGTGTTCCACGGTTAGTGTGCTAACTTCGATCTTTAGATCTTTATACTTGGTGAGTTTACCTCTTTCCTTCACCATGATGTTAGTATCATCTGGTACGGCTACGGCAATCAGCAGGCATTGTTCTTCTTTCTTGTTGTGGAGCACTATATCAGGCCGGTTTGCAAGTATCGTACGATCTGTTTGCACTGCCATATCCCACATGATAGTAGTATACCCGTATAGGTAACTCGTCTTGGAGAATGTTCATACTACTTCTAAGGTACTTGCTCACCAAGTTCACTGCAGAGTACAAGTGCTGATAGCTGGTATCTTTCTGATATCTTCATGTTCAGCTTGTTCTGGTACTAGTGCTCACTCCGTTTAGTAAACTTTCTCAAGCGCGGAGCTTTACCCTGTAGTTTCTTCTTTGTTTCTTGTTCGAGCTCGCATATAGTCTTATTCTCCCTTCGGCTCTTGTAAAAGATGCTCCTGGCTTTTGGCATCTATTTGCTTTATTGCGACACCTTTCGTTTATTTCGCTAATGATTGAGAGGTTCTTGCGATGGTTTTCTATTTTGGTCTTGATTCTCTTCTTCCATATTGGTTCTTCTGTGGGCTTTGTGACTCTTTCCTTTGTCTCTCCAGCATTAACAGCAGCGGTCGCTTACCGTAATTCGTTTATTTCTTTCAGGTTCAGATGATTATCTTTGATTATATTGGAAAGGGCCTTATTTGCAGCTTGAATATCGTTCCGCATTACCTGGTTGAGACGGACCTCTGCAGGCTTCCGCGTTGATCCAGGTGGATTGCCTGAATTTTAAGCAGCTTAGTAGAAAGTCGATCTTCCAAATTCATTATTGATTCACCTTCATAGCTATCCGTAAGCTGCGGTGTTGGTTCAGTCTCAGGGTCTGGGGGTTGTAAGTCTTCAGGTTGTTCAGAGACGATAGGTGTTAATTGCAATGTATTATTTTGCTTTCGGACATGATATGACATGATATGATGCTTACTATTTAACCCATAGTTGGGGTAAAATTTCCTGGACATCAGGGTACGTCCATACGTCGGTTAGCCATAATGCCACAGTTATCGGGAGTTCGCTCCTCCAGAGAGCGATATTTTTATCGAGACACCATCTCTAGGGAGGTTGCCGACCAAGGCTAACGAGTCCACCTACCCATGAGACAGACTTGTCCCCGCCGGAGTCCAATACTTCAAGGTCTCGCGGAAAGCTACACCGTGCTCCGGGGTGACCTGGAGGTAATTGTGGCAAAGAGTAACCTCATTCTCCCATGTTGAAACTCCGCAACCGGATGCAGTTTAAAGTCATACCCAGGACCTGGATATGACTTTAATATAATAACCTGAAATAATAATAATAATAATAATAATATAATAATAAATAATAATATTATTATTGTTGTTGTTTTTGTTGTTGTTGTTGTTGTTGTTGTTGTTGTTGTTGCTGTTGTTGTTACTGCTGCTACTGCTGAGATGATAATAATGATAATGAATAATGATAATGATAATGATAATGATAATGATAATGATAATGATAATGATAATGATAATGATAATGATAATGATAATGATAATGATAATGATAATGATAATGATAATGATAATGATAATGATAATGATAATGATAATGATAATGATAATGATAATGATAATGATAATGATAATGATAATGATAATGATAATGATAATGATGACGATGACGATGACGATGACGACGACAATGACGACAACGACAACGATAACGATAACGGTAATGATTTCACGCCATAGGTTCACTACGATGTCTATGACACGAGGAGCGTGGAGAGCCCTCTACCGGACGAAGACCAAATCATGGACCTGGCAAAAAACATCACCGGCATGGACGTCATCAGTCACGTGACAATTGCCACGTGGATCAAAGTGCCGCCCTACAGTCACAAATACTACCAGCACGTTGAGGTAAGATCAAGAGCAAAGATTTCTGCTTCCAACAATTGTGCGTACATCACCTTTTTTCATACAGCAATATTTATTCAAATCCAACAATAATTATCTATATCCGAAATGTTTGTATTATTTTTACGTGCAACAGTTGTTCGTGCAAAATTCATGCGTGCGTTCATGTGTCGCGTTTATGTGTCGCGTTCATGTGTCGCTTGCATGTGCGCGCGTATTTCCGCCTACTACACATGCAAGCTGTGACACCCAAAATGCTCTCTTGCAGGTCATATCCCTACAGGTGGCGCTAGTGTCGGACGGGTTGCAGACGTTTGCTCTCTTTCATTATGCTGAGTCTACATGGGGAGAGAGGACGCCCTATGCCCGTAATATCCTTATTGGCTACTCGGACGGACAAGGAAAAACGGAGACGAATTCCAACTCGAACAAAATGTCCGCCTACGACATGGACGAGATTGTGGGGAAAGGCACTGGTACGCATGCGCATTGATGATCTCATGCCCCACTCTCTCCCTCGCTCTCTTACGCGCTTTCTTTTTTTACTTTCTCTGTCAATAGCGCGCGCTCTCTCTCTCTCTCTCTCTCTCTCTCTCTCTCTCTCTCCCTGTCT